GATGGACAATGGACAGAGGGACAATGGACAGATGGACAATGGCTGGACAGCTGGACACACAGACTGCAGGATGAGCGGCTGGATGGACAGAAGGATGGACAGCAGGATGGACACAGACACACGGACAGATGGACAGACACACGCATGGACAGACAGACACACATCCAGACACACAGACACACAGCCAGACCCACGGACACATGGACAGACAGACAGCTGGACAGACACACGGACACACAGCCAGACCCACGGACACATGGACAGACAGACAGCTGGACAGACACACGGACACACAGCCAGACGGACACACGGACAGACAAACGGATACACGGACAGATGGATGGACAGACGGACAGACACACAGCTGGCCAGACAGATGGACAGACGGACACATGGCCGGCCCCACGGCCAGCACTGACCGTTCCCTCGAGCGCCGTCTCCTCGTCCTTGCTGCCGTCTCCCCCCTTGCGCTCGGGGGTCTCTGCGCAGAGCAGCGCCTCCAGCACCGGCCCCTCGGGCAGCGCCCCCTCCTTCCGCAGCGGCGCCTCGCAGTCTGCGCACACGGCCGGTCAGCTCCGGCCACTGCTCCGGCCCCTCCGGCCGCCCCTCCGGCCGCCCCCGGTACTCACAGGGCCGAAGCCGCGGAGCCTCCAGGATGTTCAGGCGCCGCTTCTTGCGCCAGCAGCGGGCAGGGTACGAGTAGATCTGGCCCGGGGACAGGCCTGGGGGCATGGCCGGACAGAGTGACCACTCTGAACTGACCACAGCACCCCCGGACTGGCCCTGACTCCCCCAGAGTGACCCCAGTGACCCCAGACTGACCCTGAGCCCCCCCAGACCAACCCTGATCCAGACCACCAGACTGACCATGACCCCGAACTGACCCTTTGCCCCCAGAGTGACCCCAACCCCAAACTGACTCCGACCCCAAACTGACCCTGAACCCCCCAAGTGACCCCAGTGACCCCAAGCCCCCCAAGCTGACCCCAACCCTTCAGAGTGAACCCAACTTCCAGAGTGACCCTGACCCCAAACTGACCCCAACCCCGGGGGCGGTGCACTCTGTCCCTACCCCAGGGGTCTCTCCCGTATCCTGGGGGTCCCGGGGGGCTCCCGGGGGTCTCTCCCCTATCCCGGGGGTCTCACCGGGCCGCCGGTGCGCTCTCTCCATCCAGATGTAGGAGTTGCTCTGGGCCACCCCGGTCTGCGCGTCCAGGAAGGGCAGGCGGAGGCTGCGCTCGGCGCAGAGCCGGGAGTTGTAGCTGCGGCAGTGCTCCAGAGCCTCGCGGTAGAACTCCTCCCCCAGGCTGCGGGGGCACCGCCTGAACCCCCAAATCCTCCCCGACACCGGGGGGCTCCCCCCGACACCGGGACCCCCGCGCCGACACGGGGACCCCCGCCCAGACCGGCTCCGGACCCGCGGAACCCCGTCCGGAGCATCCTGGGGTGTCCCGGGCACGGCTCCTCCCCCGGGCTGCGGGGGCACCGCCTGAACCCCAAAATCCGCCCCCAACCCAGGGATCCCCACCCCGAGCCCGGGACCCCCGCCCAGCCCGGTCCCGCCTGTCCCGGGTGTTCCCGAGGGTCCCGGGCCGAGGGGGAACCCCAAAATCCGCCCCGATACCCCCAAATTCAGGGGTCCCGCCTGAACCCCAAAGATCCCCTGGACCGAACCCCAAAACTCCCCCGGACCGAACCCCAGACCGCCCTTGGCCCCAAAACCCCTCCCGGAGTGTCCCGGCCCCGTTATCTCCGCTTCCTACCCCAAAACTCCGCTCTGGGGTCGGGGGGTGACCTCAAATCTTGGGACCCCCCCAAACCCCCCAGGACCCCATCGGGAACCCCAAATCACTCCACAAGAGCAGCACGACCCCCCAAAAACGGATGAAGTGATCGGGGACCCCAAATCTGGGGACCCCAGACCCCAAAATT